GGGGTAAGGGCGGGGCTCGGGGTACCAGCCGGGGGCACCTGGTGCGGATCCTGCCCGGCTTGGAGAGGAGACGGGCGCTGGCACCGGGATGCCGGCCGGGCCGGGTGCGAGTAGGAGCGAGGTGAGGGACGCGGGGTGCGGGCCTGCCACCCGCAGCCCCAGTTCGCTCACCTCCGCACGCCCAGCCACTCTTCCTCAGCTCGTGCGTCCGCTCCGGGTCCCTGCGCTTCGCCCTTTCCGGCCGCCCGGTGAGGGCAGGGAAACCGCGCGGGGCTGCGGGGTCTTGGCTAGGGGTGCGCCCCAGCGGACCCAGGAGACTAGGCGGGCGCCCCGCCTCCAGGCTCTCGGCGCGGAGCACATCCTCCGCCATTTCTCAGAGGGGGGAGACGCGGTGGGAGCGCGGCCTCTCCTGGGGCCCGAGGCGGGAGGAGGGGAAGAGCCTGGGCAAGGGAAGGGGAGCCCGAGCGCTTTCTGCGCACTCCTGGAGCGAGCCTGGCGCGTGGCTTACAATGTCCGCGGCCGCGCCGAGAGACAGGGTAACGTCTCCTGGGGCTAGTTTATGATCCCCCTCTCTTTAGACTGGTCTAACCAATGGGAGCAGCAAACTGGCTCAGGAGGCCTGGCACTGGCTAATGGGGTGCTTGGAGGGTGAGTGTCCTCCTTTCCCAAAAGGAAGAACTCTTAGGATGCGGACTGACTGGGTAGGAGAGCAACTAGCTGGAACCCAAAATAATGTAATTTTTGCCCAAATAAATGATGCCCATAAACACATCCAATCCTATAAAGGGGGAGCCTGAGACTCTGGGCCCCTAACATGGGGGTTCCTGGGGTGAGGTTGGAGTTGGATTCTAGGTCTCTGTGGGAAAAGTCCACTGTTGTCTCCCACCCCTAGCTATCTTTTGACGTCTGGCCTCCACATAGGTGAAGAGGACTAGAAGCCCATGGAGCCTTGGGATGGGAGGGTCCAGGGCATGAGGCCCGGGGTCCCCCTACCTCAGTGTCTCCTCTTCCTGCTGTGCAGAGCCCCGCCCTCTTCAGGGCTGAATAAGAGATGAGCACATCCCTCTGCAGATATGAAGTCAAAGTGAAGTCACCCTCGCAGGCAGGAGGGGCTGCCAAGACAGAAGCTGGCTGGGGGTTCTGCCAGCGGAGATGTCCAGAGCAGGCCTGCTGGCGGGAGGCCAGGGCACAGCGCTGCCAGCTCAGGAGAGCCACCCTGCGGCCACCAGACCTAGTGTGGCTTGTCATACACCACCAGGGCCCCGGGGTCCTTGGATTTATGGGGCTGGAGTTTGCCATGGGAGGGTCCCTTGGGTGCAGACAAGCCCTACTTTGTGGTGCTAATAAGGACCATCAAGGCTGTATACTTGGGCCTCTGCCCAGGGAAGGGACTTGAGTAGGAAGGAAAGGGCTGAGGGGGACTTCTTCATTGCAAATCTCCTGTGGCAGGAGAATGCAGAAGGAAGAGGGGTGGCTTGGCCCATTCTTCCAACCAGCCTCATCCCCACATCTTTCAGGGACCACCCTGGCGGGGCCGTGGCTGACACTAGACAGGCTGGATGTCTGGGCGTGCTCTGTGTGACCATCTCAAGGGCTGAGGCTGTGGTCCTGCTTGGACCCCCTCAGGCCCTTCCACCCTCTCCGCAGTACCACCTTTGAGGGTTTTGAGTGGACACCTGACATGGTGGGGGCATTGCCCTCTTCTTAGAGAAAGGTCTGGGAGGCTTCACACGTAGTACCCCTGTACACATGGGCACATGTATACATATGTGTATATGCCTATGTTCACATAGGTGGACATTCCTACACTCTCCCACTGCATGCCCAGAGACCTGACCAGAGTGGCATCCAGGAGAGGGCGGAGGTGAAGACTTGGCCTTGTGAGCCTGAGAACTGCAGGGAGGGGAGTGATTCAGCCCTGTGGGGGCTTGGGCATTGGGTCACGCTCCCTAACATCAGAGCAGCAGGAAGGAGCTTCCTCACTCAGCAGAGAGGAAATAGATGTGGCCTCCCTGAGGTCCCATAAGAGGAGGTCAGAGGCTAAGTTGGGGTAGAATTCAAAGATGCCAGGCTGTGATCCCCAGGAAGTCCTTCTCCTCACTTCTCTGTCCCAGGGCAGCCCCAGGACATTTTCCTGGAAGAGTCTGCAGGAGGAGGTTCTTGCTCCCTGTCCTGGTTTCTCCTTGTCATTTCTCTTTCAGCCTCAGTTTCCCCAACCGTAAGCATCCCCCTCTCAGAAGGAAGAGTGAGGAAAAAAAGAGGAGTACATGTGAGGGTGAAGCTCAGTGCCAGGCACACAGTAAGTGTTCAATAAATCATGGCTATCATCTTGCCCAGGTTTAGGCGTTGGCTCTTAGCATCCTTGCCCTGACAGACCACAGTATTGAGGGGCATGGGCTCCCACAGGCACTGAGAGGCTCTCTGGGATCTGGGGAAGGGGTGCATTACAGTGTTGTCAGTGCTCCCCACCCCTGCCCACAGACCCCTTAGAGTATCACCAGGGCACCTTTTATCAATACATAGATCCCTGGCCTCCGCCTCCATAAAAAAAATCCACATTAAAAAAAGTGCCCCAAGAGATTCAGACGTGAGATTCTGCTTTGAAGTGAGTCAGACCTGAGTTTGTATTTTGCCACTTATAGTCATGTAACATTGCACAAGTCACTTTACCTCTCTGAGCCTCAGTTTTGTCATGTGTAAATTGAGGGTTGAAATAGTCGTCCCCCGCCCCCATCGGTGGCTGTGAGGACTGAATAGTGTTTGCAAGGCCCTGCCCCCAGCACAGGATAAAGTGCCCAGTGGGCAGGCAGCTCCTATGTTATCCCAGCTGCGTTCTTTGCTTCTGAGCAGGTGAGACCTACCTGGAGCCCCTTGGATCTGGCCCCAAAGCACAGCACAGGGAAGGGAGGGTGGAGGTCAAGCCCAGCAGAGAGATAGATCCCAGCCAGTGCAGGCTTGCCCAAATGGGGTGGAGCTGTTCCTGGGGGTAGGAGGAGGGCAGGATGCTCTGTGACCATGACCCAGGTGACTGTGGGGACTCAGGGAGGTCCAGGGGAGCTGCGAAGGCCAGGTGTTAGGAGTGGAGGCTGAGTGCAGGGACAGGAAACCCTGGCCCTGGGAGGGGGGGTGCGGGGGGTGCCTTGCGGGGAAGGGGAAACAAAGATAGGAGCACACTGCTGTCCTGGGGGCACTGGAAGACCAGGCAGCAGTTCCTGGAACTACTGACAGAGGCCTCTCAGGTCTTGCCTGGGGGCCAGATATGGTCAGAGTGAGCATGGGAGGGGGTCTCAGTCCCTCCTGCAGGCACATATTACAGACCGGGCCTGACTGTGCGAGCTATTAGCTAACTGCTCAGTGCCTCAGTTTCCTCTCTGTAAATGGGGGTAATCATAGTACCTACTACTACACTCTGTAACCCCGGTGAGGTGTCAAGATGGAGGCAGATCTGCTATCATTCCATGGCTTGCCCTTCTCTAGGCACAGCTGCAAAAAGAGCCAGTGCCACCAGCTGGCTCTGAGGGGCCCCACAGCAGGGCTCCCCACTCACCCATCCTGATGTCAAACCTGCTATCTCCACAACACACTCACAACACACCACGATTGGGCTCACGGGATATGTCACAGGGACACTCTTCACCTTACTCTGTGCAGGCCCCCCGCCCCCGGCCTTGCCACCCACAACTGGCATTTGCAGACAACCTCAACCTGGCTGGTGGAGGACCCTCCCTTGGGCTTGACAAGGAGCAGGTGCCTGAGGCCTGAGCCAGGGCTCCGGGGCGGGAGCAACTGGGTCCTGCATATCTGTGTGCACATACATAGAGAGACCCCTGTGTACAGATACAGACCCCGTGTAGCTCACCTCTACCCTGAGGGCCTGACCTCAGCTCTTTGCCCCAACTCATCCTTCCATGGGCCCCCACAATAGCTTTATTTTTCTCCTCTGAATTTCCTCCCCTGACTCCCTTCCCTTCTCTGCTCTCCCCTTCTCCTTCTCTCCCCCTTCCCTACCACAACCTCTCAAAGCAATCTCTTCTCCATTCCTTTCAACCAGCATGGGAACCAGGTTAGCTGCTTCAGTGGGGCCTCAGGTTCTTCACCTGTTCCATGAAAAGAGTAATATGGTAACTGCCTTGCAGTGTTGTGAAGCTAAACCCACATGAAGCATTGACAGGATTGGCACAGTTCCTGGCTCAGTAGGAAATGGACATTTATTCTCGCTGTTCTTCCAGGGCTCCTCCGAAGTCCGGGGAGCCATCCGGGTGGTAGGCCGGGAGCGCTACCGTGGTGTGAAGGTTGCAGGTGGGCTCTGAGTTGTGTCCTCGTCTGTATCCTCGGCATGTTCCCAGAAGCATGCTGCCAGCGTCTCGGGATCTAGGTGGGAGAGCAGAGTTCCATTCCCTCCAGGTGTCAAAGGACAAGTGAGTCCCCACGCAGTCAGTATGAGCTATCATTGTTACCATTGGTTCCCATCAGATCTAGAAGCTGGGGCTGAGAGGCCAAAGAGGTCAGTGGACATGGCGAAGGTAGCACAAAAAGCAGGTGGTTCCTAAACCTGAACGATCTGCTTCTCTGTGCCCTGGCTCCCCATTTGCATAAGGAACAATTCACACCCGCATGGGGATGGCAGTCAAACGTGAGCCTGGCCCACGTGAGCCCGGCCCCTGTCACTCACCCACCCCGCAGGACAGGCCGCCTTCTCAGTGCAAGGAGAGAGAGCTCTGGAACCCCAGAGTCCTCTTGCCGCAGGCCCACTTATCTGGCTATGTAATTACACACGCGGGAGTGCTGGGTTGATTAATGCCTGTGCCCCACCTCAACCAAGTCCCCAGCTCCAGGCACTGCAGGCTGGAGGCGGCTGGAGTCTGATGGGGCCTCGGGCCTGACAAGGCCCGCCTCTTGCATCACGTGGACGCCAAGGAGAAGGGCCATCCTGGCTCACAAGCAAGCCATAGACATGCTAGGGGGCTTGAATTGGCAAGTCCAGCAAATGTGGCCTGAATGCTTTTTAGAAAAAACATCTCCCAAGGCAGTTTCATAATCTGCCTTGTAATGCAGATTTAGACAAGTTTTTACGAATGCACTTTTTAAAATAGGTCTTAATGGATCCTTTGCAGTAGTTACAGTCCATTGTGTAAATGCAAACAGAAGGCTTTTTGAAAACATGTATTATTGATCAGAATGGCAACAGCAATTAGAAGCCAGTGTGTCATATTATTCGATACACACTTCCTATACAGGCCTGCTTGTACTCGCTCATAACTTTCTGACAAATTATCCTGTCACTAGGAAGCCTTTTCTTTTCCTTTTTGCTTCTGAAAGCGAAGGAGGACCTCCCCATCAGTTATTAGCTGGAGGCGAATGAAAAATTAA